GCCAGAACCCCGCCCGCCAGTGTGCCATTGGCGCTGGCCTCCCCGAGTCGACCGTCGCAACCACCATCAACAAGGTGTGCGCCTCCTCCATCAAGGCCCTCATTGTTGGCGCCCAGACCATCATAACCGGCAATGCCGATATCGTCGTCGCAGCGGGAACCGAGAGCATGTCCAACACTCCCCACTACCTCCCCAACCTGAGGACCGGCGCCAAGTTCGGAGACCAGCCCCTGGTCGACGGTGTGCTGAAGGATGGTCTGACCGACGCATACAAGAAGGAGCACATGGGTCTCCAGGGAGAGGAGTGCGCAGACGACCACGGCTTCTCCCGTGAGGACCAGGACGACTACTGCATTCGCTCCTACAAGAAGGCCAACGCCGCACACGAGGCCGGCTGGTTTAAGGAGGAGATCGCTCCCATTGAGGTTACCGTTGGACGCGGCAAGCCTGCGGTTGTCGTCGACCGCGATGATGAGCCCAAGAACGTAAGTCGCGACCCTGGCAGTGTTCACTAATCGACACTTTCTTACTTATTAATCACAGTTCAACGAGTCCAAGACCCGCACACTGAGGCCCTCTTTCAAGCCCGGAAACGGAACCGTCACCGCTGCCAACGCTTCACCGCTCTCCGATGGCGCTGCTGCTCTTGTTCTTGCCTCTGAAGAGGCTGTCAAGAAGCACGGCCTCAAGCCCATTGCTAAGATCCTCGGCTGGGGTGACGCTGAGCAGAACCCCTCCAAGTTCACCACCGCCCCTGCGCTCGCCATGCCCAAGGCTCTGAAGCACGCCAAGGTAGAGCTCTCTGCTGTCGATGCTTTCGAGATCAACGAGGCCTTCAGTGTCGTTGCGCTCGCCAACATGAAGATCCTTGGTATCCCAGAAGACAAGGTCAACCTGCACGGTGGTGCTGTCGCGCTCGGCCACGCGCTCGGTGCCTCTGGTGCCAGGATCACAACTACACTGCTCGGTGTGCTAAGGGAGAAGAAGGGCAAGATTGGCTGTGCCGGCATCTGCAACGGTGGTGGTGGCGCCTCTGCCATTGTTGTCGAGTCAATGCAGTAAATGTGCCATCTCGTTAATGAAGACACGTAATGCTAGATATGAATGAAGTAATCATGTATACTTGGGCTGGATCTCCGCGCCCATGTGCGCTGTTGCGTGAGCCAGATAGTCCAAAATGAACCTTGTATAGTTGTCAAGATGATCAAAGATCTCACCCACTATAATCTCTTCTGTATTGTTTGTTGCAAGTAAGTTGATATGTCCCAGCCATCGCGACGACAATACACCCACCTGCAAAAAGCACTTATTTGTACTTGAGTTGTGTAGATCGACTATCCGATTCATTGGTTGAACGGTCGGTTTCAGGGGGGTGGAGCGCCTGCACTGGCCGCGCTCGCTTCCAGAAGCGCTAAATCCGGCGCGTGGCATTGGCCAGCAGTCGCTCTCCTTCATCCCAACCCCCGATCACCTCACGTTTCAACGCGTCGACGACGAATCACATGCTGATAAGCATGGCAAATGCCTCAGGCAATCGATAATAACCGTAGGCCCCGCCACGTATCCACCGGGATGTGCGCTTCTCGCTGTTTCAAGCGCCTCTCCCCGTTCACCAACGGACCATCCGTCCTATTTCTCATGAAACGGCGCACGTTTGGTTAAACATCCGGGCAGCCTTGCTCAGCGCTATTGAATCCCCATCTTGTGTACCTGACTGGTTCCTGCAGGTCCCCCTCAATGTTGCTAACCGGAGATAAACTCGGTCCGTCTATAACTCCCCTCTTGTTGAAACGGAGCCCGATGTGCCTAACGGGAGATGTACACTCTCCCGCGCTCGTCTATCCTCTAGACGAAGCCGTTGGGGCGAATCGGTGGCTGCTATGTCAGGGTCGTTGCCACGCCTCCGTTTTAGGCCTGCATATATAGGCAGGCCGTCCCTTTCCGACCATCTGGTGCCTCGTTACATCGCCAAACTATACTGTCGTCTTTTCCGTTCTTGTGCCTTTTTTCTTCACGCGTCTAGTACGCAGTCACTCATTACTATTCTTATCTTTCAGCGTCTCGACGATGCGTTTCTCCACACTCACTTCGGCTGCGGCCTTTTTCCAACTGAGCATAGCTGGCTATACTCTCCAAGATGACTACATGACCGACTTTTATGGGGCCTTTGACTTCTTCACCGACGCCGATCCGACAGAAGGCTTTGTGAAGTATGTTGACGAGGCTACCGCGAGGCAGACCAACCTCATCAACTCGTCTTCCTCAGCGATATCGTGGGGCGTGGACACACAGAACCAGACCCCTGAAGGAAGGCCCAGTGTCCGTATCCAGAGCAAGAAGACCTACGACAGTGGGCTGATTGTGCTGGATGTTGCCCATATGCCATTCGGCTGTGGTACATGGCCAGCGTAAGTAGACTTTTATCCATTGAAAGTCATGTTGCTTATACATTAATAGATTCTGGACGACTGGCCCCAACTGGCCAAAAAACGGCGAGATCGACATCATCGAAGGCGTGAACGACCAAACGAACAACGGCATGACCCTCCACACTGGTCCCGGCTGCCAGATTGGTGAAGACACCACCCAGTTCGCTGGTTCAGTGACCACAGGAAACTGTGATGTCGCTGCTGAGGATCAGTCGAAGAATGCCGGATGCTCTATCGAACACCCGTCGACCAAGAGCTACGGCGCGGGCTTGAACGAGGGTGGTGGCGGTGTCTACGCGACACAATGGACTGCCGATGCCATCAGCGTCTACTTCTTCCTCCGCGACTCCATCCCGGAAGACGTCCTCGGTGAGAACCCAGACCCCAGCGGCTGGGGCAAGCCAGCTGCCAAGTTTGCCGGCGCCTGCGACATCGAGAGCACATTCAAGCAGCAGCAGATCGTATTCGATACTACGTTCTGTGGACAATGGGCGGGCAGTAGCAGTGTTTGGAACAAGAGCTCCTGTAGCAAGAAGGCAGACACATGCGAAGAATGGGTCAAGAATAACCCAGAAGCTTTTACCGAGGCGTACTGGACGATCAACTCCCTGAAGGTCTACCAAGACAATGGATACGCCGCTGTTCCTCAGCCCTCTTCGGTGCCTGAGCAGAGCAGCGCTGCCTATGGATCTGCGCCTGTCCCGTCAGAGACACCTGCTGTGCCATCTGGCCTTCCCGAGCCATCCGAATACCCTGCAGTTCCTCCGCTCCTCACCGCCTCTGTATCCGGCATCTTCGCACCAATCCCGACGAGCGAGACCCTCTCCTCTAAAGCCCCAGTCGCTTCACCTCCTGCCGACGATGCCTCCCCCAGCGTACCCGCCGAGACCCCAAGCCCCATCGCCGCACCAACCACGCAGATCAATGCTCCGGCTCCAGCTCCAGCTCCGACCGGCCCCATGTCTGGTTTCCAATGGCCCTCTGGTGGCGCAGATAGCGGCAACAAACCTAAGCCATCGACAACACCCTCTGCCTCGCTTCCTGAGGGCACTAGCACGGCAATTGAAAACTCGAGTGGCGCCGCCGCCGCTCCCAGCATAGCGCAAAGCGTCGCTCAACCGTCCGATGTACCTGCCGCATCCCAGTCATACGCTGCACCCGGAGTACCTGCTCCAGTGCCCACTGCATCTCAAGCACCTGTTGCTCCCGCAGTCCCTGCCCCCGCACCCACCAACGTTGAAAAGGCACCTTCAGCCGACCCAGCTGTTCCCGTCGTCACCGACACCGTGGAGGCGATTCGCACAGTAGTTCAGACTATTTACCACACCGTCACCGCTCCCGCCCCTGCCCCTGCGGCACCAACGCCAGCTCCTCCTGCGGCTCCTCCTGCTGCAAAGGGACGCATGGCAAGACACATTAGGGAGCACAGGCAGAGGCTCACAAGGCACCACGCCAGACACTAGGCGGTGCATGACGAATGATGGAATGGTTGGACAAGTCACACTGGTTGCTGGCTTGGTGGGTGGAATTGGCGCACATATACCCCTGGGTTTCTTTGTATATATCTTTCAGACATTGGCAGCAATTCATTTGGATGTGATCTGCATACATCTTGTCCTTCATGGTAACAGTATGTGATGATTTCGCTCTACCCCGGTCCTACAGGTAATGTCCTCGAAATCGACATTGGTGATGACCTTCCCACATTCCCTTTTCCATTGTTGTACGCCGCACGGTAGAAACTGATTCTCAATGCGTGCATCTGTTCAGGTTTCTCTAGACAGAAGGCTGGGCCGCTAGCATTGTCTCTGTCCGCTACCAACCTCGTGAAAAGAAGTCAGAGAACACACCCCTCGCGTTGCCAGCACGGTCAGGGGGCAGGCAAAAGCAATGCCACCCACACGCCAGGTATTCTTGTCGCGCGTAGCGAGAAGAATAAAAAGCACAGCGAGAGAAAGGAATCTAGAACGACAAAAAGATAAATAAGAACCATCCTAAACACCCACCCATCTTCTGTGGTTCCTTCCTCTTCGCTATGGAAGTAAAAATGGCAAAAAGAATGTGGACGCTGTGGGAATTGAACCCACGACCTTTCACAAGTACGCAGAAGAATGCGAAGCGACTGAAGTTGAATGTTAGGAGAGGAGTCAAGAAGAGTTGCGTTGGGTGGAGTCTTACAAATCATACCCCTAGACTTTGGGATGTTAGTGGGTTGTAAAGGTTGATTGGAGTATTGTGGCAGCTTACCCAAGCGCCCGTATTAGGTAATCGATGGGTAATTTTCCAATGGTGATCGTCATAATGTACTTGCGTCTCAAGGCTTTGTGTCCCGATGACCGGCGTGAGTAATGGTTGGCGGGAGCGAGCCCACGGTCGAGGTGGGGATGAGGGGCAGATATTGGAAGGTGGGGTAAGATTGAGACCAGGCCTGGAATACCATAGCCATCGCATATCTCTGCATATTAGACCTTTGTTTACCTACAAAATCATTACTCGTAATCATTAAAAGAGACTAGAACCCCCTAAAATACCAGACCAATTCCTCGCTTCCGAGGTCCTTTATAGAGTCATTCAACACAAAGCAATTACCTGGTTGTATTCCTCCGACATCAAAGCCTCTTGGCCCTTTTCGTCCAAATGGTTAGACAACTTTGTTATGCCAATGCGCCTAAACATGGGATACTGTATTGTCACCGACAGATGCCCTTTCACGCCTGGATCACCGCCCTTGGAACCGAAATCTGTCGGCCCTTCGTACTTGAGTAACAAGCAGTACAAATAACGGAATGCTTTCCGTACTGTCCGCTCACCATACGCAACGGGCATGCAGTATAGTTTTGCATCGTCGCGGAAGATATCGACATCAGATTCCGGGGCGTCCAGATAGAGATTGGCGTGTTCGAGATGATGTGCAGACCTTTTGGAATCTTGTTGCGACATGTCAGGCTTGATTTCATCTTGCTCCAGTCCCCAGCTGTACCCGACTCGGAACAGCGGGTGAAGCCTCCGGAGCTTAATAGCCCTAAGATAGCGTGGTTTGAGCAACAATCTTCCCTGTTCTACCATGCCATACTCATTGTCCTCGTCCGAGAGGATGATATGATGGTCAAGTACTTCGAGCATTAGCTCTTCCTCTGGATACGAGTTTTCCCTTTCGCCCTGATCCCGGTCACGCATCTCGTTTGCTCTTGCAGCCCCATAGTCTGTGATATCGGGATAGGTGATTCCGTGGGGGGTATCGATTGATGCCCATGAAAATGAAGGCGCTCGAGTTGCGTCGCGTCTTCCAGGGTTCTCGAAAACACCATCCCGATAAAGCTCGTTCACTTGCCAAAGAAGCTGACTTTCGAGGTTATTTCTCCAGAGGCCTGCAACATACGTGCTCGGTACTGCGAATAGCTTCTGGTCACTACAGAAGCGCCTCGCAATTCCAGACAGCGCTATTAAGCTGTTAGCACGCACAGTAACATGTCTTAGAACAACCTTAATTGCTGCGCAGCCAAAGCGTAGTAAGAGAGATGCATACTAGTAAGGAGTTAGCAAGACGTCTTGTACATTGTACGTGGCGGCTACTTTACCCTATGAGTTTGTCGCGCGATACTGTGATTTGCGTTTTGGAATACACCTCTACAATGTGTTTCCACAGTTCGTAGATGTACAGATCTACCATGTCCTCATCAGGGTCTAGAAGATCATTTAGGCGATTGCTTCGTAGTGCCCGTCCAGCCTCTGGGGTTAAATCTTTGAGTCGTCCTTCGTCCACTGTAGCTCCCAGCTTAGACCTCAGTCCTATGGCCATTCCAGGATAACCCTCGGCATCATCGAAGTGAGAGCACTCCCATGCAATCTGGTCGCGACAGAAATGTATTACACGTGGTGCCATGAGACGCTCCTGCAGAACCCAACCTCTACGGTTAACAGCTGCGCTCTCAACGAGGTCGTCCCAGAAGGACACGTCGATGAGAGCGCACCTCGTCAACTGTTCCGTTTTCGAGCCTCCAGTACTATGTTTTCCGAAAGGAGCCATTCCCGTATGGTTGACGTTGATCTCGTTCTCCCAAAGGGATTCAGGCTGTCGGCTGAAAAACAAACCCTGATCTCCATCAACCGCAGCAGTAGCGGATATGTTGAGAAATGATCTTTGGTAGATCTTGTCCATTTGTCGACTCTGGCTCAGCCAGTCACCCACATGAACCATAGATCGGCTGTTATGATCTTCAGTCGACTGCATGATGCACATCGAGTCAATCCAGATGAACCCGACTTTCTCCAGATGACAAGCGAACAGGATTGCGTCTCGAAAACTTTTCGGCAGATCCCGCAACTCGATACCCTCCCGTATGAAACGCTCTCTATTAGTTACTTTCAATTTCAGCTGTCCTTGGACACCTTTGGGCCTACCCCAGCAATGGCTCAGCGTAACATACCGACCATCTTCTCTTTCGATACGGCCCATCTTTGTTCTATCGCTGTTCCAGGATTTGACTGTCAACTTGCTTGGAACATATCGGCTGGGCATGAAAACATCGTCCGTCTCGACCAGATACACTTTTGCTCGTTGTGCATCGCTATATTCTGACAGGACTGTTAGACTGTCTCGATCACCGATGCCTCGTATGCCTCGGATATCGCCGAGGTCTAACAAGCGCTTCGGATACCATCTTTCCCCAGTGCACTCCCAACTGTCCGCACATCTACACTCGTTCATCCAACTATGCGCCAATTGGATGACTTCATCGGAAGAAGACTCTGACGACGTCAGGGTTCGTAGGCGGCGTTCATTGGGGTCTGTGAAAAGGACTTAATACATTTCGACCTCATTGGATAGTCAAACATACCGATTGCTTTCAGGAGATACGCGCGCTTGAACCTTTGGTTGATATCGAAGTCCAATGAAAACCCGCTCGGCAGAGGTTTAAGTACAGCCGTGATCGAGATCGACTGATCCTCTAGCAGGTTCACGTCGCGCCAAATCGCATTCGATAATGACGTACATATCTTGCAGTCTACCTCTTTTGATCTTCGAAGTGATGTTGTAGTTTTGTGATGATCAAACGTCAGATCGTGAGTCCCGGACCTCGCTCCCCTTCCACCCCTCAGCATAGCTAAACACACGTTACAAATCATCTTTTGAAGACAAGGCTGAGCGAGCTCTGGTGCTATTTGTTGGACGCAAGGCTGAGTATTCCACGCTTAGCCTGAGGGCTGCTACTTAGGTATGAATTAAAGAAATGACGCGCTCATGGCGAGGCGAGGCGACAAGGTTTGATGCGATTCTTGGGAAATGCTGACTAGATACCTAGGTATTCAAGGGGAACATGCGGGATATAACCTTGGAAGGGTCACACAGGAGCGCAGCAATCGGGGGTTGGGTGCACCCCTGCCCAGCTGAATGCAGACCTCCTTCAAGGCAGCCGCCGTGCATTCATCCCATAGTTTTACCCCGCAGCATCTCAGCCACGGTCGTCACTGCTGCGCACCAGCGCTATACGCTGCAACAATGCGTTTGAGAGTTTCCATTATTCCTCATGCAAAATATAGGTAGACTGATGGCTAGCTCCTGAGAGATCAATAGCTAGGTAGCTGCTCAGTTGCTGGGGGGTGGTTGTAGGCCTAGGAGACCTCGGGATGTTGGCGCGCAGAACTGCGTGACCCTGTTTCCTGTACCACCTGCAATGTGCGTGATTATTCTTATCACATGCATGAAGGTTATGCGACATCCCGATCGCTGTAAGATAGGTATGTAAGCTTGTCGCTGCGCCCGAAACGACCTCGGGGAGCTTTCCAAGGTTCACAGCGCATCCACCATCACTTCCAGCCTTACCTTGTACAAGACGGCCCCGGGACTCAACAAGACAGCTTGAAATCGTCCGCTACTAGGGCAAAAGCTTTCACAGAAATCCTGTAATTATATCGCTCTGCTTCCAAGGCTATCTCAAGTACTAGCCGAAGACTTCGGGATGCCATCCACTTTCCTGCTGTCAGCCTGGGAGCCTGCCATTCCTGTCACAGTTGCAGATGGCCACATTCTCGACGAAGAAAAACTGCTCGGATTTCCAGCGTTCAGTAACTGGTTGGAAGCACTCCAAAAGAATCTCACTGTGCAAACAACTCCCGGACACACGTTTGAGGGGGATCCATGGCGCCTCGAGGGGGTGAATGTACACAACGTCACCGTCTTTGACGACGGAATGATAGGCTTCATGACGATCGAGGCATTGATGAAGAAGAGCCACACCAATCTCGATCGAGTCATTTTCTTGCGCGGCGGTACCGTCGCTATCCTTATGATACTACGACCCAAGGACAACGTAGACGAGAAGTGGGTCATCTTGACAGAGCAGCCGCGAATCGGCGCATGCAGCACTGCTTTCCTTGAGATCCCTGCAGGAATGTTGGATAACAAATCTGGCACTGTAGTTGGGAAAGCAATGGAGCAGATTCGCGCAGAGACGGGGCTTAATGTCAGGGCGGAGGAGCTGATCGACCTAACCGCAATGGCTCTTGACAAGGTTGAAACCAACGAACAGCTCAAGAACGGGGTGTATATGAGCCCTGGAAACCTCGACGAGTATATGCCGATGCTATTGTGGGAGAAATACCTGGACCGAAAGGAACTCGAATCTTTCAGGAGCAAGTTGGGTGGCGAGGGTGTCAGAGACAAGTTGATCACTTTGCGCATCCGCAATTTCGAGGTGCTTTGGAAAGAAGGCGCGAGAGATGCTAAGACACTCGCTGCTTGGGCGCTATACGATCGACTGGGCAAAACCGAACAGATTGAAGAGCGACAGAAGCAAATTCGCATCGGTCGGACTCAGCAATGAGTACTCAGTAGTGACCTCCCGAAGGTTTGGATGTATCCTTATTTCAGACGAACGGAATATAGCCAGCGTGGCAATAACAGTTGTATACCAAAGCTCTGCACGTACACATCCCCTCTGAGCGGGTTCTTGCCGCCATGCATGTGCTTATCTCAAGGTCACCTCGTAAGCGCCGCGCATGATTCTGAGACGAGCGGCGGGTGGGGAAGCATCGGAGCATCCAGAGCAAGTTGCGCGCGCTTCGGAACCTAAACCCATTGGTGTACCCGGTCATAAGTTGGAAGATCGGCACTAAGACATCAACACTATACTGGGAGTCTCTTCGAACGAACGTCGAGGCAACGGTGCCACAGCACCATACCTAAGTATAGCTGCTCGAGACCAAGGTATAAGTACGTGTTCCACCAGACGCCTCTCATCACCGTCCACCACTTCAAGACATCTCGTATCTGCATTACTCCACTACCTCCATCGCTTCCCGTTCGTCAGCGAAGCTCCGTATTTCGGTCCTCCCATTATACTTAAACGTCTCGGACAATACTTGCACGCCACATACTCTTGCTCTCTTCCTAAAAGACCTCGGATTGTCCCGCTGATAGAGGAGGCCTCGACACTATGCCAGCCAAACCCCAGCCCACAGTTGGCAGAACCGCGGTAAACGCCAACGTGATGATAGTACTTCGTCCGAAAGATAACACTCGCGAGCGCTACGTCCTTCTCGTAGAGTCACCCCAAGCTCGCGCGCGCAATGAACCGTACCTTGAATTCCCAAAAGGAGCCTTCGACGCTTCGGGGAGTTTTACTGGTCCTATGATGGACAATATCCGGCGGGAAATCGGTTTCAAGCTATCCGAATACCATCTTATCAACCTTACGGCCTTGGTACAGGAGATGCGGCCTTTAGTCTGCGAACCTGGTTCGCCGACAGAGCCAGCCGTACGTTTATTCAACGCAAATCCGAACACGACACTACTTCTCTGGGAAAGGTTTCTGGATAGAAAGGAGGTTGAAAACTACAGAGACCGACGGGCGCCCAACGAGGCTTGCAATATACGCATGCTCGACTATGATTACCTCTACGAAAAGGCGGAGCTCAGGTATGGCTGGGCAATGTACGAGCATTTGCATGGTTGTGGTATTCTTCAGCAACAACTGAATGATAAGAGGATTGGAAAATGAAGGAACTGGATAGGAGATTAGGGCGACGGAGTAGATGATGATGTTGCACATGTAGACTGACCGGAAGCGCATCGTAAAGAGTTTGCTCAAGCGAAGTAGAGCCATCGACCCAGTATTTGCCTGGGATGGTGACAATGTTCCACCCTGTGATAGATGTTAGGTCGTACGCGCCCGGGTAGTGTGATCTCCAGGCAAAGAGCTAAATGCGTCGCGGCGCTTGGAAACTTTCCGCGATAACGAAACCGCGCGGCTCTGCTCGGTTGGCACTAGTCGTCGAGCCCAAGCGTCTTTTATAGATCCTCAGCGCATATGTGAAAGAGCACTAACTTGCATGTGCAGCGTTTACGCAGTGTCATGTCGAAAGATGTGAATTGATGGGAAGCATCAGACGCATGGACCTGGCCGGTAATCTCACTGCCGGCCTTTACCCGCAGTCCCCCCGCGCACTGACCTCTGGACCGCCCTTGCTTGTCATGTGATCCACTAGCGTGCCAAGACCATATGGCTACTTATACCGCGCCGCCCCCGTCCCTCCCAAGCTCGGAATACTTGTTCGTATTCCCCAACCACCCCCCTACGTTTACCACCTGCTAACAACCTTTAGACCTTCTTGCGACTCATCAAGCTCAAGCATTTGATGGTCTGACAACGTCGCCTCCATTGCACAGCGGGGTGTGGTGTTGTCATGAATCTCCTTCGGGGGCTTCAGCGGGGCAATTTTTGCTGGTCTGCCACTGCGGCTTTACATTTTCATTGATTCCAGTGCCTTGCGCATTGGATTGAGGAAGGTGGTCGACAACAACGAGCACTACCGTATGCAAGCAAGAGACTGAACACTCATGAGCCTACGTTCACGTCATGTCACCTGCTTTGCATGTATTCATCCTGATGTAGGCTGCAGACCTATTCATTAGGTGGTGCTGCTTTCGACGCGTCGCCAGTCGTCCTGCTGTGCTTGCTAACGCGTCGAGCTCCGAAGCTATCTGCGCAGCGGGACCAAGACCGCAGCTCCTCGCCTTCTATATCATGGTCTTGCGTGATGTCTCGCCGACACGTTTGGCCTGCCAAGCTCTGCGAGGTTGCCCGAGAACTGAATATGGCTTTCTTGTTGTTTCGCGCATTGCCATAATGTTTACTGTTGAAGAGCTTCTGGTCCTACACGTCTTGTCTACCGTATCGCCGACTGACTTCGTGCTTGAAGCGGTAGAGTGAACCTGGAAGCTGTCGAACAGGACCGAATCGCACACATCCCGCTAACGCGTTCATGCTTGCGCATGCAATCCGAGAAGTCTGTACCTGCGCCGGCAACTACTCACCACCGTCTCATGCATATCACCCGCCCCGACGTCCAGCGTATGGCCATAATCTGGACGTCCGTTCACCATCATGGTCCTCAGTCACAGGCATATAAGCCCTCGCGCAGCCGCTGTCCTCCAGTCTATCAATCGGCTTGAACTGCATGCGTCTATGCAAGCCCTGAAGGGCAGAATTCGCGTTCTTTTCGCACCTGCACACGACACCACCTCCACATTCTCCTCTGTATCAACGCCCCGAGCTTAACACGACGACATAACCATCTGCCGAGAGAATGCCGTTCGGGACGCGCTCGGTCTGCGAAGGTCTGGCCAGAGCTGCATGTCTAGCTCCAACGGCCAAACGCGAAACGCGTGCTGCCCCACCATGACATCGCCATGACGCTCGTAGGATTCCCATCGCCAACCTCGATCTGCGCCAGCACATGGCATTTCCAAAAGCGTACATTCAGCTCGCGTACAGCGGACTTGTGCCCCTCCACAGCGTGTCATGACGTTAAGCTAGCCCCTCCAAGCGCATGTACAAGGGGGCGGATAATCTTCTGGTTCGCGGTAGTTGTAAGAGGGCTGCAAAATTCACGTCACAGGTTTGTAATATGTCATCGAAAATGTCGCTGGTTGGCATTGAAAAGGTAGGCGCGCTGCGCCTACTGCAGGCTCTCCAACTTTGAACATCTCTCTACCTTTCACACATACAACTACACATCAAACTTTAGCCCAAGATGATGTCCCAAGCAGCCCGCCAGGCTGAGAAGGCCATTGGCCATGGTGACAACGCCACTACCGCGCAGAACGTCACCAACCCTGGCAACGACGAGAGCACCGCCGACTACTCAGAGACGATGAAGGCTTTGGCATGGTACGGCAAGAACGACGTTAAGATGATCGACACACCGAAGCCCAAGATTCTAGAGGACCGTGATGTTATCGTCAAGGTCACTGGATCCACTGTCTGCGGTTCTGACCTGCACTTGCTTCACGGCTCCGTCGTGGAGATGCAGAAGGGCGACATCCTCGGACACGAGTTCTGTGGTGTTGTAGACGATTTCGGTCCTGGTGTCACAAAGTTCAAGAAGGGGTACGTCCATCTCCCAGTCCTTGCTCAGCGCATCGCTAACATACCATAGCCAACGAGTCGTTGCCTCTTTCCAGATCGCCTGCGGTGACTGCTACTACTGCAAGCAGAAGCTGTCCTCCCAATGCGAGAAGACCAACTCCAACACCATCGAGAACGCCATGTACGGTGGCCGGACAGCAGGCATGTTCGGATACTCTCACTTCACTGGTGGATACGCCGGAGGCCAAGCAGAGTACACCCGTGTCGCTTACGGTGACGTCAACCTACTGCCGCTTCCCGATGATGTTCCGGATGAGCAGGGTCTCTTCCTCTCCGACGTCGTGTGCACCTCATGGCACGCAGTCGTCGACACCGGCGTCAACAAGGGCGACGTCGTTGCTATCTGGGGAGCCGGCCCAATCGGACAAATGGCCGCAGACTTCTCGCTGATGCAAGGTGCATCGCGCGTCATCATGATCGACCAAAACTGGCGTCTCGACTTCGTCAAGTCTAAGTACCCCAACATCGAAACCATCGACTTCTCCACCCTATCCAAGGGCGAGTCCGTCACTAGCAAGCTCAAGGAGATGTGCAACAACCGCGGTCCAGACGTCAGCATTGAGTGTGCCGCCGGCGAGTACGCCAAGGGCTGGGCCCACTACTTCGAGATGATGCTCGGTCTCGAGACCGACACCAGCGAGCTCATCAACGAGATGATCACCAGCACACGCAACATGGGTCGCTGCGGTATCACCGGTGTATACGTCGGCTTCACCAACCACTTCAACATTGGTTCTCTCATGGAGCGCGGTATCCGTCTCATCGGTAACGGTCAGGCGCCTGTACACATGTACTGGGAGTCGCTCCTCAAGATGATCCAGGAGAAGCGCATCGACCCGTCCAAGATGGTCACCCACCGTGTCCGCCTTGAGGACTTGGACAAGGTCTACTACAAGTTCGAGAAGAAGGAGGATGGCATGCAGAAGGTGTTTGTGGAGACCAAGTGGAGTTTCCCGGCGTGGGAGGGTAGCCCCAAGTTGACCAGGTACTAAACCTGATGTCAGTGTAACGAAATATGTAGCATAGTTTAATGATACCAATGTAATGAAGTAACAATGAGCACTCTATGAAGACAAAATTCGGTGACATGTCGGCTGTAGGAGTTGTTGTGGGCCACACGATTTTGCATACGTCACTGCTCCACTCCACCAGCAACTAAGATCTATACTACAGTATCGTTATAGATGCTATCCTGCTTGGATACGTGACGCTTAGGGAATGATGACCGTACCATCTTTGGAATCCTTGTACCTTCAACGCCTTGATTACAAAACACTGATGCACGCTGGGGTATGAAATCTATGATTACGTTGTCAGACCATCACATGCTCGAGCTAGAGGATTGATGGGAAGGCAAGTATCATGAAGAATACCTATGTTTTATGTAGTGCTGT